TAAAATCCATGATCCAAGAGGGAAGATCCCAGATGAGTCCGAGTCCCAGGAGCACAGTGTCTGGTTGGCCTGTAAGTCACAGCTTAGCTGCCTTCTGAGGTACCAGATTCCCTACGACTGCTACCTAAGATGGATGCCCACTGTGACAGCTGCCATCTGAGGTGTGCATGCTCTGCTGTTCAAGGCACCCACACCTGTACCCCTGCCCTTCAAGAGATCCATATCCCTGCCCTTCAAAGCACCTGTGCCTGCACCCTGCCTTCTGAATCACACACTCCATCATGACTGCAACCAAAACACTAGCACCCATTCATATTTCTGTGTATCTCTCCCATTATCCTGAAGACAACTCCAGACTCCAGAGATGACAGGTCCGTTCTTCAATGCAGGTTCCCAGAACAGTCAAGACTAGGGATAGCCAGGTGGCTAAAGGCCAGTGTGAAAACACACTTAACAAAAACCAGGACATGGTAGCTCCAACAGAATCCCCCCCAAAATAATGTATGTTCTAATGCAGCCGAAACACAGGAAAATGATCTTAAATCTATGCTTATGCAGTTATTAGAGACATATAAATAGGAAATCAATAAACTGTCAAAAATTTCAGGAAAATACAACAAAACAAATAGGAGGACATTAAGACAAACAGGTGAAAAAAATGAATAAAACTGCTCAAGACCTGAGAACAGAATTAGAATCAATAAAGAAAAGGCAAACTGAGAAAAATCTGGAGATGGAAAACTTAGAAAAGAGATCAGGAACCACAGAGTATCACCAACAGAGATGGATACAAGAGATACAAGATATAAGAGTTATAAGGGATGGAGAAGAGAATCTTAGGCATTGAAGACACAATTGAAGAAATTGATACATCTCTCAAAATATTAAATGGAAAAATTCCTGACACAAAACATCCAAGAAATCAAGGACACCATGAAAAGATGAAACCTAAGAATAATACATTCCAAGGTCCAGAAAATATTTTCAAAAAAAATCATAGAAGAAAATTTCCCCAACCAAGAGAGAGAGAGAGAGAGATGCCCTTAAACATACAAGAAGCTTATAGAACACCAAATAGATTAAACCAGAAAAGAAATTCCTCCCACCACATAATAATAAAAACACTAAATCCACAGAACAAAGAAAAGATATTAAAAGCAGCAAGGGAAAAAGGCTAAGTAACATATAAAAATTGATCTATCAGAATCACATCTGACTTCTCAACAGAGACTAAGAAAGCCAAAAGGGCCTGGGCAAGTATCATGCATACACTAAGAGACCTTAGATGCCAACCCAGACTACAATCTCCAACAAAATTTTCAATCACCAGGGAAGGAGAAAACAAGGTATTTCATGACAACACCAAATTTAAACAATATCTATGTACCAACCCAGCCCTACAAAAGATTAAGAAGGAAAACTTCAACTGAACAAGGTCAACTACACCCAAGAAAACAAAGAATATAGATAACTTCACAACACCAAAACCAAAAGAAAACAAACACTATCACCACCAACTCCACAATAAAAAGAACTAACAATCATTGGTCACTAATATCTAGCAACATTAATGTATTCAACTCTCCAGTAAAAAGACATAGGCTAACAGAATGGTTGCAGAAACAGGATCCAGCATTCTGCTGCATTCAAAAAACACCTTAGCAACAAAGATAGACATTACCTCAGAGAAAAGGGCTGGAAAAAGGATTTCCATGCAAATAAACCTAAAAAGCAAGTTGGAATAGCCATTCTAATATCTAGTAAAATGGACTTTCAACCAAAATTAATCAGAAGATATGGGGAGGAACACTTCATTCTCATCAAAGGAAAACTCCAAGAGTACATTACAGTCCTGAATATCAATGCCACAAATACAAGGGTACCTGCATTCTTAAAAGAAACATTATTAACGCTTAAATCAAACATCAATCCCAACACATTAATAGGAGAGTTCAACACCCCACTGTTACCAATGGACAGATCGTTGAGACAGAAGCTAAATACAGAAATAAGTTAGTAGAGGACATGAATCAAATGAGCCTACAGAACTTTTTTATAAGATTTCTTTCTTTATTTTATGGAACTATTTTGTTTCTACTTTCTGTTCTATATTATCCAATCCAGCAATATATCTTTCAGTCTCCTCTTTCTACAAGTCTGTTTTAGTTTGATCTTTCTAAAAAACGGTATATAAAATCACGCTTATTACTGAACATATATTTATTTATATGTTGTCATTTGGACCTATATGGGGTCCAAATGTTCTCCTTTATAGGATTTTCCATTTTTTAATATGGAAAATATTTATTAATTTATTTTTAATCTAAGTCTTTATGGAGACTTATTTGGTATTTAAACAATTATTTTTGACCATCTCTGTTCAGTTTATTTATTTAAATATTTGTTTGCATAAAAGTATGATTTTAAAACAATTTTTACCTGACTAGAAGCTTGACTGCGTTTGAATATTTTTGTTGTTGTCTTTTTGGATTTGCACTTGGCTTCTGCTTCCTGAGCTGTGCCTTGCTTGGCTATTCCCCCTTCCTTCTCTGCTACACAGATCAAGCTTTGAAGGGCTAAGCCTCCCATTATTACCATCTGGCCAGGAAGGGGTGATCCTGCGTGATGTGAGCCTTTAGCTGTATTATTAGTGGTATCTGCTAGCCACTGGTGCATTGGCTGACAGAAAACTGCAGGTCTCCCACCTGCCCCAAGTACCTGGACTTTGTTTTATCTACTGAAACTGCTCTGTTCTTGATTATAACCTTTAATTGCTCTGTGGATGTGTTTCTTCAAAGCTGACAGGACTATTCAATCTAACTTGATATCAGTTCATGCGGGAAGCCTCCCAAGCAAGAGAGAAAGCCAGAAAACAAGGTTTGCCCATGTTTTTTGCCTTTATTTTCTAGCTTGAGTTTCTCTCATAAGCTCCCAAAATGATGGAATGTGGTCTGACAGAACCAGCCAAATAAACCTATTCATTACTTGAGACACTTTTGGTTTGAGGATTTAGTCACAACAACAGAGAAGCAAATTAGAACAACAAAAACAAACTGGTATACAAAAAGTAATTTTCCTACTGGATAAAACCTGGGAATGTTGTCTATTGGAGGAATGTTGAAAATATCAGGACTTTATATTGGCAAAAAACATAAAATGCTGGACACACCTTAATCAACTGTCCTAATAGGACCTGGAATATTGGGGTGTGGAGAGTAATGCAGACAGAAGAAGTCAAGGTCATAGAATTTCAGTAGAAGATAGACTCCCTGAAAAATTAAGCTAGAGGTCAATTGTGTGATATTGTGGCCCAAAATCTTTCTCATTCTGCCTATTCCCTGAGAAACTGAGTAAGGCAAAATTAAAAAATATAATGGGGTGATTTCTTAGATGGAATAATGAATCTGTTGGATGGTTATTACTGGTGACTCATTCAGGACTAGAGTGTAAAAAAGCAACAATTGGGGCAGGAATAAATGCAAAGTCTATGGTTTATAGAGAAACAGCACTAGGTAGTTTCAGATGGCAGTCAGTGGCTGAAACAAAGGCATGAATTGAAATTCAGAGAGATCAGCATCATTAAAGAGAAGATTCTTCCTCTGGATTTGAAGCCCAAGAAGGTGCTCAAATGGTAACCACCCTCCTGCTAAGCCTTCAATTAATGGAAGCAAAGTGGATCCCAGGAAGCAACTTTATACAAAACTTGAAACTGTGGTCCAAGCATGGATGCTCCATCCCAACTTAGAAACCAAACTTGGCAGGATCACACATGTTGTGCTGGAAACAAGAAAGATGAAAAATTTAAGGTCATGGATTCTTAGTCTATGGTTTCACATTAGCACTGCTCCGTCCATCTGTGTTGGCAGAGTCAGAGACTCAATTAGGGACTGAGACTTCACTGCATGAAGCTATGAGGATGAAGCCTCAGTACCATTTTGAGACCACAAGATGATGAGATACCCAAGCTATGAAACATGTGCCATGGAGAGCTGCCTATAGGGAGCTGAAGTGACCAAACTGAAAGATGTATGAGAAGTTGCAGGGATAGGGCCATCTAAGCCCTTTGAAACTGAAACCCCATGTGCCTGAGACAGAGAGCTACAGAGATTTAGTGTTTTCCCTGCTGAGTTTCCTGCCTTGGTCCATTCTTCCCTCACTCTGTACCCATTCATCTCTTTTGGAATGGGAAGGGATATTCTGTGCCATTGTACATTGGAAAGACATCACTTGTTGTCTGACTTTAAAAGATATTGTAATCCAGAGATTGCCTTGAATATCAAAAGAAACTGAATATTTTAACAGTGTAGGGGCTGTTGTAGACTTTAAGGATCATTGATGTTAGACTAAATGCATTTTCATCCTGGATGACCATGAGGCTATAGCAACCAGGATCAAAATGTAGTTGGTTGAATGAATCAAAAATCTCCCAGATAAGATGATGTCTTTGAATACTTGTCCAACTTTGGTGACTTTCTTTGGGGAGCTTATGGAAGCTTTTGTAGGAGAAGCTTTTCTAAATGTAATTCCTCATTGGGGATGGGATTTGAGTGTCTATAGACTCAGCCCATTTCCTGTTATTCATGTCTATTGTGTTATGGTTTAAATTGATCATTTAGCTTCCTTCTCGTGTTGTCATGCCTTTACCATTAAAGACTAAATCACATAAAATACAGTAGAAGCAATTGTTCTTCAATGCCATGGTATTTGTTATGTTTCAATTTTGTTTTTGTTTTGAAGACAAATTTTCTCTGTATAGCCCTGGCTGTCCTCAGTGTAAGCTCGTAGACTAGGCATACCTCAAACTTAAAGATACACTGGACTGTGGCTCGAGAATGCTGGAATTAAATGTGGGCTAACATGACTGGTTTTGTTTTGTTTTATTCTGTTTTGTTTTTATATTATTGGCTGATGAGCCTTTAATGTAGGTTTTTTTTTTTTCCACATGTCAAACATATGTTGTCCTGAGTTTCACCCACATCTTGAATTTTGAAATTTGGCAGATTATCATTCTGTTTCCTAGAATGGCATGTATTCATTACATCAATACTGATTTTTTTTTATTTCAGGTAAGTAACATCCTTCCTACCTGTTGTGTTTGTTTTGAATTTATGTTGTAATGACTATGAGTATTTTGTCTGTGTGCGTGAATATTCACCTTCTGACTACCATGTACCTGGTCCTCACCGTAGTCAGAAGATGGCCTCAGAACTCCTTAACTAGGAACAATAGATAAGTGTGACCCATTTAATTACTTGCAATTGAGCCCACTTATTTGCAGGACCAGCAAGAGCTCTTCACTGCTGAACCATCTCTCCTGTCCTATGTTGTTCATTTATGATCAACATTTACATTGCTAATATTTTCATCTGTCAATTTTTAACTGTTTTACATTCATTCAATTTTAGTAAGATCTTATTAATGTTACAGTTTAAGCTGGGGTACCCCAGGATTCTGGATGATGAAAGCAAAAGTAGAGTGAATGTATAATTCTTTTTCGGAATTTAAGTAAAAACTTCTGAGTTCTATCTTTTTGGTTTGATTGATACTTGCAAGCAAGACAGGGTCTTAATATGTACCTCTGGCTGAGAACTCATTACTCATAGACCAGGTTGGCATCTTATTCAATGAGATACTTGGCCCTCTGTCTTCCACAGTCAAGGATTAAGGTTATCAACCAGTATACCCAGCTTGCTCATTTTTTTTTTTGTAGTTCGTAGTTGTTCATAAAGTTTCTCTGATGTGTGCTCAGTACTATCGATCTGTTTGCATATCTCTTTTTGTTTGTGAATTAGCATTTCTCTTGCAAGGCTATATCCTATTAAAAGGGCACAGTAGTGAAAAGGGTGAACCTCATTATTAAGTTTCCTTCTAAAATGACTTTGTAATTTTGTCAGAACTTCTTTGTCAGGTAACAACTGGGGAAAAACCAGAACTGTATGAATTGTATTGTCAATGAAGTATGCATCTCCAATGTTGTCCCTATCATGCTTTCTGTTGTATAAATGTTTGTGATACTCTAGGATAGAGTGACCTTTGATGATGTGCATGTGAACTTCACTCCAGAAGAGTGGGCTTTGCTGGATCCTTCCCAGAAGAGTCTCTACAAAGAAGTGATGCTGGAGACCTACAGGAACCTCATTGCTATAAGTAAGACTGTGAACATTTTTACTTTGTACAATGAGGGGACAAACCTGTTTGTTAGTAATATTCTGGAATGTCAATTGAGGAGGAGGAGGAATGAGGTGAATAAAGAAACTTTAATTTTACATAATTTTCAATAATATATTGTACATTTTCTGGTACTATATTTTAGGCTATAATTGGGAAGACAACAATATTGAAGAACATTGTCAAAGTTCTAGAAGACATGGAAGGTAATTTTCATGTGCAAGCTGATACAGATATGCCTCTGAAGAAATTTTAGTGTATCCTGGAAGTTTTAAGGAAAAACAACAGTGTAAATAAGCACAGCTTTAAGTGTATTGATGATTATTGATTATACAAAACCATGCATCTCAATGTCAAGTATCTAATTTGTGTTTGCAAGGTTTTCATTTAAGACAGAACACATGGTAACTGCCTTTACAGATATCACCATTTGAATCAAAGCACCATTAGAGCTACACTGTAGATCTGCCAATCCACTTAGTCTTGTATCATTCAGATATTGCAAAAGGTGTACACACTGAAAAGGTGATAAGTATATATCCAAAACCTTCTAATAAGCCCATTGTCCATAGTAAAGCTGGTGATACTCATGTACTTGTACGAATATATTGCTAAATTTCATGAGAAGGGCAGTTTATAGAAGTCAAGAAGATTGTTGTAGAGAAACCTTAATGCTTATACCACATGTCTATGAGATGCAAAGGTCAAACTGTGTGACTGCAATGTGATTTGTTATTCTTCCTTTCATTGATTTATCATATGTCACAGTGGATACAAGCCATGTATGCATAAGTGATGATGAAAAAAGCAATGTACCTCTGTCTCTCCCAGAGCAATTAGAAGATGTGTGATAATTCATGGTTAGGGTAGACTGTTTGAATGTGGTGCAAGTTTACAGTTAATTGGTTTTCCAACTTCATTGGTAATATGTCCACAACCTCACACTTCAGAAAATCCCTATGAGTACTAGGAATATGGAAATACTTCTGTTCTAGTTCACTTTTCAAATGTAGTATGACCCACTCTGTTGGAATATTTATGAATGCATTTGGTGTCATAAAGCTCTAAATTCTTCTAGTTCTCTTCAAATATGTGAATCACCTCATATACAAAAAGGATGCTATAACTGTGAGCCATGCAATAAATGCTGTTGCTATCACATGTATCTTCAAAGATGAAAAAAAAAACTATAATGAAGGGGAACACCCAGAATGTAAACTAAATGTTAAAACCTTAATATCTGATTCCTCTTTACAATTAGACAAAATTGTAAAGTTAATTCATACAGATAAAAAGATTCTCAGTGTAATAAATGTTATAAAGCTTTCACATGTTCTAATTATCTTTACAGGCATGAAAGAAGTCATACTAACAAGAAACCCTACAAATGTAATCGATATGATAAAGCCTTTTCACAACACCATCATCTCCAAATGAATAAAAAAACATATACTGGAGAGAAAACTTATGAATGTAATCAGTGTGGGAAAGCCTTTGCACGTCACAGTCATCTTCAGTGTCATGAAAGAACTCATACTGGAGAAAAACCCTATGAATGTAATCAATGTGGGAAAGCCTTTTCATTGTATAGTAGTCTCCAAAAGCATGAAAGAATTCATAGTGGAGAGAAGCCCTATAAATGCATTCAATGTGGTAAAGCCTTTTCACAACATAGTAGTCTTCAAGTGCATAAAAGAACACATACTGGAGAGAAACCTTATGAATGTAGTCAGTGTGGTAAAGCTTTTGCCAGTCACAGTAATCTTCAGTGTCATGAAAGAACTCATACTGGAGAGAAACCCTATGAATGTAATCAGTGTGGGAAAGCCTTTGCACGTCTCAGTCATCTTCAATGTCATGAGAGAATTCATACTGGAGAGAAGCCCTATGAATGTAAACAATGTGGAAAAGCTTTTGCACGCCACAGTCATCTTCAAAATCATGAAAGAATTCATACTGGAGAGAAACCCTATGAATGTAATCAATGTACTAAAGCCTTTGCATGTCATAGTAATCTCCAAATACATACAAGAAGACATACTGGAGAGAAACCCTATGAATGTAACCAATGTGGGAAAGCCTTTACATCTCACTTTAGTCTTCAAATACATAAAAGAAAACATACTGGAGAGAAACTCCATGAATGTGATCAGTGTGGTAAAGACTTTGCATGTCACAGTAGTCTCCAAATACATAAAAGAAAACATACTGGAGAGAAACCCTATGAATGTGATCAATGTGGGAAAGCCTTTGCACGTCTGAGTCATCTTCAGTGTCATGAAAGAATTCATACTGGAGAGAAGCCCTATGAATGTAATCAATGTGGTAAAGCCTTTGCACGTCTCAGTCATCTTCAAAGGCATGAAAGAACGCATACTGCAGTGAAACCCTATGAATGTAATCAATGTGGGAAATCCTTTGCATGTCAGAGTAGTCTCCATATACATAAAAGAACACACACTGGAGAGAAACCCTATAAATGTAATCAATGTAATAAAGCCTTTTCAGGACAGGGTAATCTCCTAATACATAAAAGAACACACACTGGAGAGAAACCCTATGAGTGTGATCAATGTGTTAAAGCCTTTACACGTCAGATTTATCTCCTAATACATAAAAGAACACATACTGGAGAGAAACCTTTTGAATGTAATCAATGTGGGAAAGCCTTTGCACATCACAGTCAACTTCAAAGGCATGAAAGAATCCATTCTGTAGGGAAACCGTACAATTACAAATTAATGTGATAAAAATGTAATGATATGTAAAGTGTAGCCTTTGTGTCTGGCTGTAAGTGAAATTCATAGTTTTACTATGTGAAATTCATGTTTCTGGCTTTAAGAAAAATATTTTAGCAAAACCTTTGCTGTGTTTGGATTAATAGGTAGAGACTGAGAAACTGTTTTGAGATTGAACCTTGAAGATATTTTTTCTGTGGAGAATCTGCACTTGCTACTACATGGGAGCTTGCAGCTGTACTGACCTTGATCCTAAGACATTCCTTACAAACCTGAAGTTCTTTGCCACAATCAAAAGAGATTGAAATTTGTGTGGTGTGTCTCTTCTCAGAGGCAGACAGGTAACTTTGGTAGTTGGAACCATTCCCAGCCCCAATTAACCTTCTATAATGTTTGGATAAAGTAACTGGAATGAGCTAACTGGGTGAGAGTCTTTTCCAAGAAGACTGAACTCCTCTGCTCCTTTTGAAAATTAAGGTTTAGCATCATGGTGAGCTTCACTGTCTACTGTGCCACCTATCACTAACATTAAATAATAATAAAGCCTTTTCCAAAAAAAAGTAGTCTGTTGTTTTTATAAAACTAAATCCCAGTCATTCAGTTTTACCAATGAAGAGTCATTGAAAACCTGAGAGCTCAAAGAGTCAGAGAAAGCCCCCTGGTGACTTTCTACTCTACTCACACCCCAGAATAAAAAAGCCCTTTCTTCTCCATGCTGTTTGTTTTAAATACCCTCTAATTCAATGTCCATCCTTTCTATTTATTTATTCAGTTTGGTTACTTGAATTACCTCTTGACGTATGGTTGACTTTATTTTGTTCCTTGATTAAAGATGTGTGTTAGGGCTGAGCCACACCACATATTTTTTTTACAGTAAACAAAAAGCTTTAGTATCAAAGGCTGAGTCATACCACAGATTTTTTTTTCTGATTCTCACTCTCTGAGGTCACAATGTGATCAAATATCCTGCAACATATTGGAGTAAAACTATAAAGGTATTCAATATAGTGAAGCCACAGTAGTCTCCAAATACATAAAAGAATACTTGAGAGAAACCCTACAAATGTAATTGTTTTAAAATACAAAAATTCTAAGTGTTCGATTTTACCAATAAAGACTCAGGAGCCAGTGTGTGTGTGTGTGTGTGTGTGTGTGTGTGTGTGTGTGTGTGTGTGTGT